TTCCGAGAAACATGCAAAACGGGACGGAAAACATGAAATTTTGCAATAATCTTGCGCCACCCTTGCACAAAACGACGATAATTTTTTCATAGACAACAGAAGACTGTATTTTTTCTACATAACCCCCCCTGGATTTAAAGCTGGATCCGCTCCTGCACAGCAATTTGCAAAAGGAACCAATCCACATCGTCCTTTCCCATCCTCATGTATATTTCCATTAAGAGCTGCGTATTCAGTATGCGGGCTTGGTGCCAACTCGCACCCTGCCCTGTTAGCTCTTCGATAAAGCAAAATCCTCCACGGACGTGCCTGCTTCTAGTCGTCTTTAAGCTTCCGAGTTCCGTTTGAAAATCCACTTACCATTAGGGCTCAACATCAATTTTTTCTGTGTTGTTTATTGCTAAAACAGCGGTAAATGTGGAAGATCATCCGGCTGGCTTTCGGTAAATATTTTCAAACCGGTTCCAGCCCAGTAAATCCATTTAAGCGGTGACGGTTGGCATGCTGGCCGCCTCCAAATGGAAACAAACAGAGCCTGAAAATGCTGGCTGGAAAGGGAAATGGAGATGTCAAAGTGCGACAGTCTCCGGTGGCTTTCCGGACTGATTTCCACGTTTAAATAAGGAGTTTACATATAGTAGGTATAAACTTGGAAAATACATCATTTTGCCTGGAAAAGTGAACGTGACCGGATCGGGCTGACCCGGATAAGCGTTTCTTTGCCTAACGTTCCGTCCAGGTTTTTACGCATTGAGGGCTCTTAACTCCCTGCCGATTCGTGCTGGGTGTCACCGACGACTGCATTAGCGGTGTTTGACTAAAAGCTCCTTCGGATCGATTCAAATCGAGTTTATTTCACAGAAAACTTTCCAGCTCCTCGTCGGCGCCTGCCGGCTCCTCCTCCTTAAGCTCCTGGTAGGTTCTGAACAGATGCCGGCGCCTCCAAGTAATCACCAGGCCGGCGCAGTAGCAAAACGACGACAGGAACAGAATGAAGCCCAAATACATGAAGTAGCGAAGCAGCTCATTGGTCAGCAGCCTGGACTTGCTGTAGACGAAAACTGTCAGCTGCTGCATGCGTATGTCGTCTACAAAGCAGGTGAAGTTTCCAGCGACAGCTCTGGTCACCTCCACCAAGTAGAGGGTGCTGAAGGTGTCCACAATCACATGAGGGTCGCTGTTGTCGCCCCTTTTTAACTCCCTGCCGCCTTTCTTCCACACCACTTTGTTGTCCAGAGTCGACTCTGGGCAGACTGTCGTCAAATGCGAACCTTCTTCCAGAACGGAGTGCCTGCGATACTTGAATCCCTTGCCTTTTCCAACCTTCCAACCTGTTCGGATGAATCAACTGCAGTGGTTGGAGGAGATTGTTCCTAATTTACCCCTGTTAACTCCTTCGGCATCAGGATTGCATGCTCCGGAGCACCGATCCTCCAACAGGAAATCGGGGATGTTGCCGGTATAGGAGCTGATTTGAGGGAACAGCTTCAGCAGCCTGGAGGATCTGCAGGAGATGGCTGGGGCTTCCAGCAGATAAAGTTCATTGGAGGTGAGATTTGGCGGAGGACTCCCGAGAGGAGACAGTTTTACTCTGAAGGAACCTCTATTGCCGGATTCTGCGGCGTTGGCACTGCTGTCCGGATCAGCTTACCTACAAGAGCCCCGCTTTTTCATCAGACCCTCGCCTTGAGGCCTCCCGCAAGCCTGGCAAGCCCCCCAGGGGCCCCACTGAGTGACCAATGCAGCATCCACTTTCAAAACGTCCCTTAGGTAGACGAATTCAGTGGCGTCCGACTCTTTAAACAGGCCGTTAACCGATAGGAAGAAATCCTGCTGATACTTTGCCCAGTCGACGATCTTGCCTGCAAAGTTCCAGTTGGCACAGCGACTCCTGCTAGCCTCCACTACCTTTTTCAACATCTCTAAGCTTGTCAGGCTCTACAAGATCTACCAGATAGTTGAACTTCTCCTCATTTGTCTGGTCTTCAAAGTGCACGCAGTAGTAGAAGCCAGCATCTGCTTGGGACAACTTGCTGATGATCAGGCTGTGTTTGTGGTTTACTGCCACCCGGTTCCTGCTGGCCTCGTTCTCCATGTCCAGCTGGAAGCCCGCATGTGGTTTAGCCGAGAAAACGGGAACCTGCGGATGGTACCTGCACTTCATGGGGTTTGCTGCGCCCCAGCTGGTCCACTTTGAACCAGTTTTTCGGACGATCGTTGGGCGCTTCCTTGCAAAAGCGGCATTGGAGGATCAGCGTTTGGCCTTCAACGGCATCTACCAGGGCGTACAGATCCTCCTTTTCTGAGCCCACCAGTCGCTCGCGCTCTCTGCATTCTTTCGTTTCGAGCAGCGGGTCTTCTGAGCGGGCAAAAGTCGCTAACAGAAGGAGAATTGGCAGTGTTTGCATGACTCAGCTCTAACTAGATTTATTCGGTACCTGGAATCGTACGTGATTTTATATTTTGGACCTGTATTTGTTCGAATTTTAGTGAATTTTTAGCACTAGGGCTCACTTTCCAGTGCTATAATAGGAATAAATAAAAAGTTGTGGATAAGTTCTATGTTGTTGAGGCGGATTGATTTTTTCAGAAACTGTTTGTTGGGTATTTCGCCTCAAAAATGTTTGTCTTTAAAAAAGACAGAATTTCCTCACGTCTTTTATTGCAGATTGATAAATAGTGCTCGAGCAATATACATGAGGATGGGAAAGGACGATGTGGATTGGTTCCTTTTGCAAATCGCTGTGCCGGGGCGGATCCAGCTTTAAATCCAGTCTTCTGTTGTCTATGAAATTTAAAAAATTATCGTCGTTTTGAGCAAGGGTGGCGCAAGATTATTGCAAAATTTCATGTTTTTCGTCCCGTTTTGCATGTTTCTCGGAAGCAAAATGAGCAAGATCGCTCGTTTTTACATCATTCCAGACATAACTAAATGGCCTTTATTCGAAGTTTCTCAAGAACCATTCGAGTCACAGAATTCGTTTTGGCATCGTTGGATAGAGAATTGAAAAGTCGATTC